CTTTGTCATGTGGTCAATGGGTAAAATGAAAATTGCTCGCCCAAAAACCAGTAGCATTTCCCAATTTTTTTTTTTTTTGCCAGTATAGTCACACTTTAAGAGTAAACTCCAAATAGGGTTCTAGCCACTGTCAGCTTTTGATCTGTGTGTTTCTGCTGTCCAGATCCTTGGGATGTCCAGCTTCAAGGCCTTTGCTGCCATTCTTACAATTCTTTATAGCTCACTGAGGATAGTATTTCAAAGAGAGACAAAGCCTTTGGTGTTCTCTTTGAAATGTTGTATAAAAATGGATAGCACTTCAAAGAGAAGAGCCCTTCAAATACAGAATTAGGAAAAGACTGTGTAGACTTTAGGATCACACAAATGCAAGAGTTGGGTGATATCTTTCTTAATGGGTTGCTGTGTCTCTGTGTTGTTTTCCCCCACAGCCCAAAAGAAATGCTGTGTTTTGGAAGCAGACAATGTGCTGTTGCGTGGGGAGGGGCTCTCACAGAGTAATTAGCAATTCCTTTGTCTGAAGTTTGGAATGGAAAATTCCAGTCCTGCTGCAAGGGATGGTGTTCAAGACCACATCCCCCAGCAGATATTTGCAAGCTAAGTCTGAACTTTCCTCATGTGAGCAGACCTGGCACAGACGTCTACCAAGCATTTTTGGTACAGTACTCTTATCTACAATTATTCTGCCCTACCGATGAAGGAGTGGTGCCCAGCGTGATCAAGTGGAATTTACATAATTCTTGCTCATCTTATCCTCACAACCCTATGAGGTAGGTTGGGCTGAACTATGGTGACAGTCCCAAGACCATCATTTCTCAAGTTAGACAACCTCATAGGAATGTTGCAAGGATAAAGTTGTACAGGGAATAATGTAGGCTGCATGAGCTCTTGAAGGAGGGAGGAATATAAATGTAACAACAACAATGGCTGGAATTCTCCTGTGTATTAAACCAGTATAACTCCATCGGTCTAACTTTCAGCAGCAAATTGATCATAGAATCGTCATAGGGTTGGAGGACTTCTAGTCCAACCCCATTCCCAAGGCAGGAGACCTCATACAATCCCAGACAGATGGCTGTCCAATCTTTTCTTGAAAAACCTCCAGCGATGGGGCACCCACCACGTCAGGAGGCAAGCTGTTCCACTGCTTAATACTTCTCACCAGCAGAAAATTCCTCCTAATTGGAGGTTGGATTTCCCTCGGATGAGTTTCCACCCATTGGTTCTTGTCTTACCCTCAGGCGCAATGGAGAATAAATTAATGCCCTCTTCCCTGTGGCAACCCTTCAGATCTTGGAAGACTGCTATCATGTCTCCCCTCAGTCTCCTCTTCTTTAACTAAACATACCTAGTTCTTTTAGTCGTTCTTCATAGGATTTAGCCTCCAGTCCCCTTATCATCTTTGTTGCTCTTCTCTGCACCTTTTCCAGGGCCTCGGCGTCTTTTTTGTATTGTGATGACCAGAACTGGACACAGCACTCCAAGTGTGGCCTCACCAGCACAATATAGAGTGGTACTGTCACTTCCTATGATCTTGATGCTATCCCCCTGTTGATGCAGCCCAGGACTGTGTTGGCTTTCTTGGCAGCTGCAGCACACTGCTGACTCATCCTTAGGTGGTGGTCCACCAGGACACTTAAATCCTTCTCACAGGTACTACTGTCAAGCCAAGTACCACCAGTCCTGTACCTGTGCATCTGTTTTCTCCTGCCTAAGTGCAGGACCTTACTCTTCCCGACACTTAACTGCATCTTATTGGATAGGGCCCAGTGTTTAAGTCTGTCTAGACCCTTCTGAATGTTGAATATCTTCCAAAGTATTAGCAATTTCCCCCAGCTTTGTGTGATCCGCAAATTTGATGAGTCCTCCTTCAGTCCCCTCATCCAGGTCATTTATGAAGATGTTGAAGAGCACTGGGCCTAAGACACAACCTTGAGGGACCCCACTGCACACTTCCCTCCACGTAGATGTGGTTCCATTGAGGACCAGCCATTGAGTATAGTTGGTCAGCCAGCTGCAAATCCATCTGGTAGTTGCGTTGTCTATCCTATTTTGTTCTATCTTACGCAGAAGTAGGTGATGTGGTCTACCTTATCAAATGCCTTACTGAAGTGTAAGTATACTATATCCACTGTGTTTCCTTGGTCCACTAATTTAGCCACTTTATCGAAGAAGGCAAAAAGATTTGTTTGGCATGACCTGTTCTTAATAAACCCATGATGGCTTCTAGTAATCACCTTGTTATTTTCTAGATGCTCACAAATTTGCTGCTTGCTTAGTTTTTCCAGGATTTTCCCAGTATTGATGTCAAGCTGATTGGTCTGTAGTTTCTTGGATCCTCCCCCCACCTTTTTGAAGTTTGGAACCACATCAGAATATCAGTCCTCTGGCAGTTTGCCTGTGCTGCAGGACCTCTCAAAGATTTCATTCAGGGGTTCCGAGATCACATCTGCCAGTTCTTTTAGTACCCTGGGATGTAAACCATCCGATCCCAGAGACTTGAACACATTAAAAGCAGCTAGGTGTTCTTTTTACCACATCCTTACCTATTTTGACCTGCTTCCCTCTCCTGTCTGCCACAGTGTTATTTTTGATAGGGTGGACCAATTTTTCCTTTTCCATAAATGCATGCAAAAAAATAAAAAAAAAAATTAAGCAGTTCTGCTTTCTTCCTGTTGCCTGTCACCTTCTTGTCATCTTCTCCCACGATTTCCTTGACTTTCCTCTTGCTCCGTACATGTTGAAATAAACTTTTTGGGGGGGTTATTTTTGGCATTTGTTGTAAATCTTAGCTCATTCTGAGTGAGCCTTAGCCTTCCTGACTCAATCCTTGCAGATTCGAGCTATTTGCTGGTATTCTGTTCTAGTTATGAGCCCCCTTTTCAGTTTTTTATACTTATACTTTTTGTCCCTTAACTTGTCAGAGAGCTTTGTGTGCATCCACGCCAGCCTTGTCAGATGTCTGTTTCTGGTATGGATCTTTATTATCTTGCCTTTCAGGGTTTCCCAAGCATTCTGAACTGTTTTCCCCTTTAGGATTTCCATCCATTTGATCCTTCTTATTACATCCATCTGTTTGTTAAAATCAGTTCTCAAAATCTAGAACATTAGTCTGACTTGGTTCAGTTACCCTTGCCTGAATGATGGTGAATTCTAATATGACATGGTTGCTTTCTCCTAAAGTTTCTATAATTTCCACTCCCTCAACTATTTCCTCTCTATTAGTAAGTATTAAATCCAGTATGGCTGACTCTCTAGTTATCTCATCCACCTTTTGGATGGTCAGGTTGTCAGCCAGGCATGTCAGTAACCTCTTGGATCTCCCACTTGCTGCAGAGTTGGTTTCCCAGTTGATATCCAGGTAGTTAAACTCCCCCATTACTACAGTGGTGTGTTTCCTACACATCTCAGCTAATTGATTTGCAAAATGTTCATCTATTTCCTTTGCTTGCTTAGGTGGCCTATAGCAGAGGTCATCAGGTCTGTGGCCTGGTGCCGGTCCCTGGCCTAAGACTGACCTCCCGCCCCACCCCCTGCATGCACTCACCCCCACAAAGGCTGTTTGCGCCTGCATGCGTGCTTATGCAGGCACTCTCTCTCATGTGCATGCGCAAACGGCAGCGCTGCTGTTCATGCATGCGTACAAGTGTGGAGGGTGTCCTACCTTCCCCAGCCAGTCCATGGACCAAAAAAGGTTTTGGGACCGCTGGCCTATAGTACATACATACAGCTATGTCATTCGTTTTTCCGCTAATATTCACCTGAAGAGCTTCCAGAAGGCTTTAATCCTTGGTCTCCTGTATTACAGTACAGGAGTAGTAATTCTTTACACACAGTGCAATTCCTTCCCCTCTTTTGTTGGGTCTGTGTCTTTTGAACAAATTATATCCTTCTAGTAGCATATTCCAGTTATGGGTTTCATCTCAGCAAGTTTCAGTAATAGCAACATGTCATACCTGCCCTCACATACGAGGACTTCATCTTCTCTCTGGATAGTACTATCCCACACATTATGTATGTATCTGGAAGCTGCCTAGAGTGGTCGAAAGACCAGAGAGGCGAGATATTAAATAAACAAACAAACAAACAAACAAACACAGACAGAGTTCTAACTCCTGTCCTCTGAAAATGCTGGCCACAGAGACTGGCGAAACATTAGGAAGAAATGCAGAGGCATTTCCTATCATAGTCAGAAAACTAGTGTGCAATAAGAAGGATCTCTGCTGGCTTTTTAACTTGCTGTTGAATGTTATGCTGATGGAGTTCCACCCTGAGAGGCATAACTAACAGGATTTTGGCCAATGGTTTACTAATAAGATACATCACACTGATTTCATGGGGACTACTGCCCATAGCTAAATCTAGCTCTGGCTCAGTGAATTCAGAGAGGGAGAACGTCCTGAGTGGTGGCGCTTCAGTGGTGGATGCACCCCTAAAATATGTCACCAACTTCCTCATCTTTCAAGAAAGTGGCCAAGGCATTTTTTATTCTTTCAAGTCTTTAGTGGTTAATCCTCCTCTTATTTTATTTTATTTTTTAAAGTTTTCTGATCCTGTTATTGATAGTTTATTTAGGTTCTTATTTCACTGGTTTTAAATGAGTAATAGCTGCTTTTGTTGCTCGGAGGTCTTTGGGCTGAAAAGGAAAATGTAACTTAAATATGAAAGGAAGGAAGTAAAAATTCTGAAACATCACCACATATTGTCTCCAGTACAATTTAGCTATTACCTTGAACACAAGGGGGCGGGGGATATGGTAAGCACTGCATAAGGACAATAATGTAACAGGAAGGGGGTATTTTAATTATAAAAAAGTGTGTGTGTTTTAATTCCAGTTTTGCATGCGTGAGTATTATACCATCTCCTTTCAGTTAATTCATTTGGTTATTTACAGCTTGTTTAGTGGGGAATGATGTTGCTGCCAAAGAACATTCCATTTCTCTGAATTTTCAGAAATCAGAATTTTCGTCTTTACATAAAAAGTGCTTACAAAATGTTCCTGGGAAGTATGCTCCAAAATGTTTCCTACCTTTGAACTTGTTGACTGAAGTGTCACCACTAGCATTTCCTCATGCCCAGCTGTCAAGAACTCTGCTCTCATTTATACCCTGAAAGAGTGATAATCAGTCAGCTTGCACACGGCTAAAGCTGTTCTTGCAGAACAGAGACCAGGAAGAAGACAGCAAAGTGTAACTGGAAAAATCCAAACAGTTTCTCTTGGTAAACTAAGTTTTAAGACAAAGCAGTCAGATGGATACATTGGATTTACAAACAGAGGAGGTTGTTAAGCGGAGTACCCTTCAGAAATACAAAATTCTCTGCGTTGTAAGTATTATTCTTTGCTTTTTAACTTGAATGTTTGCTTTATTGTATTCTTCACTCTAGTTTCGTTATTTTTAACAGAATAAACTTGGTCAGTATTTTCCACCGACCGTCTGGAAATTTCCTGGCAGGTTTTGAGGGCATGACAGCATGAATAAGCCCCAGCTTTAACAGAGCAAAAGGAATTGTTAAAAGTTTTCAGCTGACTGTTCTGTTAAAGAGCTGAATAAGTATACCCAAAAATTTGAAAATGAAAGGGTTTTGTAAGCCTACAAAATGCATCAATGTGTAGGCAGTGCAGTATGCATCATCAGCTGGCTTTTGGAAACAAAAGCAATATTTATTAACATTATTACTGTAATGACTAGGATATGAAAATTATCTCTCATCTTTCTGCTAAAAGTGGTATTCTGGAGAATGTCCTTTACAGTGGTGCCTCGCATGACAGTTTTTTCGGTAGACATTGACTTTTTGCGATTGCTATAGTGATTCGCAAAACAGTGATTCCTATGGGGGAATTTTGCTGGACAATGTTTGGTCCCTGCTTCGCAAACCAATTTTTGCTAGACAACGATTTTGACAGCTCCCTACATGCTCGCAAAACGGGTGTTTTTGAGACCTAAGCTTCGCAAGAAAGCTATTTGAACAGCTGATCGGTGGTTCACAAAGCGGCTTTCTTATGGCTAATCTTCGCTAGACAACGACGATTCTTCCCCTCTGGAACACATTAAACAGGTTTCAATGCATTCCAATGGGGAAATGCTTTTCACTAGACAATGATTTTGCTAAACAGCGATTTCAGTGGAACGGATTATCATTGTCTAGCGAGGCACCACTGTATTTCATTTCCTACTGACTTGTAGTGGGTATGTGCATAGATATACGCTTTGTCTTCTAGCAGAATCCAGTCTGACTTATGGAAACATGTAAAAATCAAAGGGCAGATGCCTATTAAAAAAAAAAGAAAACCACACACACGACAGGAATTTAACTTACACTTAATTTTATACCATGGTTAGTTACCACAGGAATGATCCCTGTTTCTTTTCCCCACCCCCGGCATGTTCTATTATTTCCTGCTTGGTGGCAGGCAATTTTTGTGCCATCCCAACTGGCAAAGAATACTTTGCATTTGCCCTCCAAATCAGCAACACATTTTAAAGCTTGTTTGCTATCTTGGTCTTTGAGACAATCACAAACCATGGCTTACTGTTTTGGATTAAGTGAAAATTTCCAGTGGGGTAGCCATATTAGTTTCTTGTAGGAAAAACAATTAATTGCTTGACTACTTAAAAACCAAATGATTTCATGTGACATAGGCTTTCATGAACTGCAGTCTTTCCATGAACTTCAGACATGTCTGAAGCTTTCCACAGAACTCCTAGATACTGTAGCTAAATGGTTTAGGTATCTTGCTCTAGAGCCAGAGGTTGGGAATTAGATTCCCCACTGAGCCTCCCTGACAGGGGCTGGACTCAGTGATCCATAGGGTCCCTTCCAGCTCTTGCAGTTCTAAGATAAATGATAAAGCTTATGTGAAACAAAGCTTTTAAGCTTTCAACATGTAACAAGACCCTTTCCTGTAATTAACCCAAGTGAATGACGGGGAAAAAGAACTTGAAAGCTTGCAGTTCAGCCATGTACAGTACAGTCAACACTCAACTTACGGACTTAATCTGTTCTGGAAGGATGTTCGTACGTCAAAAAGTTTGTAGGTTGAAGTACCATTTCCTATTGAAATGCACGGGAATGGAATTAATCCGTTCCAGCATTTAAAAAAACACACTGTGTGTAGGCATCCTTCAGTCTCGAGAGACTATGGTATAGTGCTCTGTATGGAGGACTTGGAACAGTGTCTTGTGTGGCTGAGAAGGCCAATTCGAGAGTGACAATCCCTTCCACACTGGAGACAAATCCAATCTGTCCCCTGTCCAGCTCCCTGGTTTTGCTTGTTTCGGGACTGCCTCTTTGCCTCGGTCTGCTGTACAAGTGTCTCTTCAAACTTCTCCCGGTAGGCCCAGTCTACTCCCTGGGAAAGCCTGGTAAACCGGGCCTACCAGGGGAGGGCTTCCCCCGGTAGGCACGGTCTACTCCCCGGGAAAGCCTGAAGGCGTCAATTGGGGTGAAAGGACCTCCAGGAAGGTCTCCCATTGTGGCAGAGAAGCCCTGGGAGACCTCCCTGGCGGTCCCCGCTGCCATGATCTGCGCCTTCAGAGCTCTCAAAGGGATTTCCCCTGACATCGGAGGAAGCCCTTTGAAAGCTCCGAAGCCAAAAAGGCAGGGAGAAAGGGTGGGAAATTCGAATTTGCCCCACAGAACGCATTAATTTCATAAATCAAGGTACTACTGTAACTCAAAACCATAGTCTGTATTTACATGGTACTTGTCATAGATTCAGCTGCACTGTTTTAAGGTGCTGTTTAAAGCTTTAAATAGGGATGTGGTGGCACTACGGGTTAAACCACAGAAGCCTCTGTGCTGCAAGGTCAGAAGACCAGCAGTCGTGAGATCGAATCCACGCGATGGAGTGAGCTCCTGTCGCTTGTCCCATCTCCTGCCAACCTAGCAGTTCAAAAGATGTAAATGCAAGTAGATAAATAGGTACCACCACAGTGGGAAGGTAACAGCGTTCCGTGTCTAGTCATGTTGGCCACGTGACCACGGAAACTGTGTTTGGACAAACTCTGGCTCTATGGCTTGGAAACAGTGATGTGCACTGTGCCCTAGAATTGGACATGATTAGACTAAATGTCAAGGGGAACCTTTACCTTACCTTAAAACTTTAACAAAGTACCCATACCTTTTTTAAAGCATCGTTTTTAAAACACAGTTTTGTGAGGTGGTGTCCCCAAAGCAATCATTCAGGTGAGAATACTGAGGAGAAATAATAGCAAACTATTTTCAGTGTAAGAGGCATGATTAAAAATAAAGTTCAAAAATATCATGGATATCAGTTTGAAATAAAATTAGCAAAATGTACGGAGACCAGCCTGATAGTTAGAACCTGGGAGGCTGAGGCTGCTGGTGAGGCATCAGAGAACAGGGCCATATGTGCATCCATCTTTTATATAGCCTTTTGTCTTCAGGAGCAACAAGCTTTGATTAAAGAGGCAACTGCTGGTCTGGCTGGCTTCTTTGCATGAAATGGAGAAGGTTTTCCTTCACAGGCAGCAAAATATCTTGGGCTGGTCCTATGGATCTGTTGTATTCTGACAGTGATCCTTATATCTCTTTATAACTTATATAACATAGATGTTTCTAAGAAATAATAAGATGCCATGTGAAATATGGAGAAGATTGAACAGATGGTTACTTCCTGTGATTAAGTGGCATCTGGTATTCTCAGAAGATGGCATGGTTAGTTTTGACAGTGCTGTTTTGGGAAAAGCAGGAAGGAGATTCCTCATCACACAAGTGATTAGCCTCATAGAAATTGTCAGAGCTGGCCATCTGTTTGAGAATATGTCTGTAGGTATACTATTGCATATAAACCATGCAATACTGACTCAAACAATGGAGTCCTCCAGAGCACAGAGTGCTGTCCTCTGAAGATGCTGACCACAGAGACTGGCGAAACGTTAGGAAGAACAACCTTCAGAACACAGTCAAATAGCCCGAAAAACCCACAACAAACAATTGAGTCCTTTACCATTGAGTAGCAGTGACCTTCCAAGGTTTCACATCATCTGCTATCTGATCTTTTTAACTGGAGGTGCCAGGGAGTGAACCCAAGAGATGCTGAGCATGTAAAACGTGTGTGCTACCACAAAGCTATGACACCCTTCCCTAATGAAGGTATCTGCTGGGATGCAACGTGTGCCTCTTTTGTGTTTGTGTTTTGTGTGTTTTGGTTCTTTGATTGAGTATATACCTTCAAACCACAAGACTGCTGTACCTATTTATCTGTATCATGATAAGAGGGTTTCAAAGGAATGCCTAAGCATGAATGAATGTTTCTAGTTGCCCTGTGGTTAGAAAAAAAAATAAGGGTCATTATAACTCGTGTAATAGCATTTGCTTTAAAACAAGGAGGCATGTATCTTATTTTGAGGCTGTCCTTGAATTTCCAGTAGCCTTCAGAAAATGCATTCAAAACAAGATATATTCTTTCCTATGGTACCTTTTTTAAAGCAAAAGGGAGTTGCATTTCATGCCACTGTTGAAAGTCAATGGCCACCAGTCGGATAAGTTTAGCTTCTCAACTTCCTGGAATTCCCATCCATGACATAGAAATTTATGGAGGCCATGACTAAGAATGGATTCCCCATTACCTCGTTTCAGGTGGGTTGGTGGGACTCATAGGTTAACATGTGTTATTGTTTGCTGTATAAAAGAATAAAAAATGAACAGCTACCCATTTTCAGATAAGTAGCCATGTTCATATGTCTCAGCAACTACAAAAACAAAGCAAAAACAGATTTGTGTCCCATGTGTCTGAAGAGATTGGTTGTACCTGTGAAAGCTTGTGCTAAAATAAATCTGTCAATGTTACAGGTACTGCACTGCTTTTTTGTGGGTTTTTTTTAATTTGTTTTTGTTGATGGCTATTAACACATCCTCATATGCTTTTCAATGTTGCTGGGATGGCTTGTGTTATTCAGTCCTTTAAAACTGGAATGGTTACAGCAGACTACTTCCTCCTTTGGAAGGAAAATCATTTGCACATTTATTCTATGGAAATTTTAAAAAGCTAGTGTTTATTCGATACATACATTAGAAGAAAGAGAAGAGGAATCTAAGCTTTTGTTAACTTGGGCAGAGTCGGCAGGGAGCCACTTGAGAACAAAGGCAAAATTTGTCTGCTCCTAGAGAGGGCTAAGAAAGAAAACGTCAGAGGAAAGCAACCCTAAATAGGTTCCTGTAGGCAAAAGGAAGGCCAGCGTAGGTCAGAGCAGATGAAGGGAAGTTTAACAACCTGAAAAAGGCCCTTTGCTCTCTGTCCGCTTTTCTTCTTGCAAAGGCCTGCATCTTCTTCAGGGGAAGCTGATTAGTACCCAGTCATC